CCCTGCGCCCGTCCCTGCCCGCAATCGCTGCCGGGTCCCGGGGCCATCCCTGGGCTGAGCTGCCGGGGGATGCTTCGCTTGCCGCGATGCCATGTGTGCGGGGGGAGGATGCTGCCGAGGTTACCGGGGCCGAGCGGGCTCGACGCCGTGCCGGGGTGTCCTGTGCGGGGACGGGGGGGTGTCCGGCTGGGGAAGGCAACAGCCCGCACCGCTGCTAACGAACTGGTGTAGCAGCAGTGTCACCTCCTGGGACATCTCCCTTGGTTCTCACATCCCGGCTGTGCCTAATTACCCGCCCTCAATTAGCTCCTGGTTATTTGTGGCAGGGCCGCGCGTCCCTCGGCAGCCGGGGAAGTTTGTCGGGCTCTGAGATCTCCAGGCCATGGATGGGTGCTGGAGGAGGTTATGCCGGCTGTGGTAACATGTCCGGGGGCTTTTGCTGGCAGAGGGGGGGGGGTTCGGGGGGATTTGGCGTGAAGGGGAGAAACAGCTGTGGCTGTTCCCACTCCGCTCGAGCTCCAGCCTGGCCTTGCTTGTTGACCATCAGGGAGGGAGAGGGGCCAGAAGCCAGGAAAGTCCTCAATGTGGAAGCGTTTAAAAAAAACCCAAACAAACACCAAAACCAGTCCAAAACCGCCAATGGCCACCACGGCATTGGGAGATGCCGGGAAGCCACAGGGAGGGTGCGATGGCACTTGTGGTTCCCAAGAGAAAAAGGCAGCAATTTCCTGGGGTTCGGTGCTGTCGGGGGGTGAGGAGCATCCCTCCCCTCCTCCCCGCCAAGAACAGGGCCACATTCGAGGTCAGGGGCGCTGCTCCTCTGCATGTCACTGCATCTCGCCCTGTCTGACCTGCGGAAGGTGTGATCCTACCTCGGGAGGTGGCAGCCCGGGGTCTGGAGGGGTTTCCCGTCTCCCCATCCCCCCCCAAAAAAAAAACATTCCAGGTTTGGGGTGCCGAGGGGCGGCTCTGGACCCGAAGGTTGAGGAGGGATGGGATGCCGGGCAGGGCCACCGTCCACG